TTCGAATTGAACAGAAATAAAGAAAAAAGAAAGAAAAAAGAAACAAAGGAAAGAAAAAAAAGAAAGAAATGAAGAAATAAAAAGAAAACGGAAAGGAAGAAAACGATAAAAAAGGAAAGAAAAATGACAGAAAAAAAGAAAGAAAAGAAAAACAGATTATGAAAAGAAAAGAAAAGAAACAAAAAGAAAGAAAAGGAATAAAAAGAAAGAAAAGAAAGAGAAAGAAAAAGAAAAAAAAGAATAAACAGATAGAAGGAAGAAAACTTTTGACAAAAAAGCATAACAAAAAAGTCAAAAGAAAGAAGGGAAAAACGAAAGAAAAGGAAAATAACGAAAAGAAAGAAACAAACGAAAAAGGAGAAAAAAAACAAAATTGAATCGAAAAGAAAAGAAAGAAAAAGAAAGAAAAAAAAGAAAAGAAAGAAAGAAAGAAAGAAAAAGAAAAAAAGAATAAACTGAAGAAAGAAAGAAAGAAAGATAGGAAAAGAAAGAAAGAAATAAAAAAGAAAGAAAGAAAGAAAAAAAAAGAAAACTAAAAGACGAGACGAAAAAGAGAAAAGGCATGAAGACAAAAGACAGAAAAAAAAAGAAACAAGAAACAAAAAAGAGAGAAAAGAAAGAGAAAGTAAAACAAACAGATAGAAAAGAAAAAGAAAGAAAAGAAAGAAAACAAAGACAAAGAAAGAATAAAAAAGGAATTGAGAAAGAGAAAAAGAAAGAAGAAAGAAAGGCAAAAAGTAAGAAAAAAAAGAAAAAGAAAGAAAGAAAAGAAAAAAGAAAAAAAGAAAGAAAGAAAGAAAGAATGAGAGACAAATAGAGAAAAAAAGAAAAACAGACAGCCAAAAAGCCAGAAAAAAAAGAACGAAAAAAGAAGGAAAATGAGGAAAAACAAAAGTAAGACAGAAAAAAAGAAAGAAAAAAAAAAAAGAAAGAAAGAAAAAAAAAGAAAGAAAAAAGAAAAAGAGACAAAAAGAAAGAAGAAAGACAAGAATCGGAAAAAGAAAAGAAGAGAAAATGTAAGAAATAAAAAGAAAGAAAGAAAGAAAAAAGAAAGAAAGACAGAAAGAAAAAAAAAACGGAAAGAAAAAGAAAGAATGAGACATAAAAAGAAAGACAAAAAGAAAAAGAAAAGAAAAACAAAAAAAAAAAAAAGAAAAGAAAAAAAAAAAACAAACAAACAGAAGAAACAAAGAAAGAAAAAAGAAAAGTAGACAGAAAAGAAAAAAAAAAGACAAAGAAATGAGTCTACAAATAAAGTAGCCATGATACGAAAGATGAAAAGTTGGATAACAGAATCAGGAGAGAAAGAAAAGAAACAAAAAAGATTAAGGGAACGAAACATGGAAGATATTGTTTTGGTGAAAGAGAAGACGATAAAGAAGGGAAAAAGAGGGGGGAAGAGAAGAAAGACTAAGAAAGAAACATTTTCGAAACACTCATTCCAAATCAAAGAAAATTGTTCGCGTTGGATCGCTGAGGAAAAAGTCATGGACAAGAAGTGAGTCATTTCCTGTGAGTCAGTTCGACATTTTGTCGAAAGAGATGAGTGTCTTTCTTCTCAGTTCTTCCTCCCACCTCTTCTTACATTCCATAAAATCTCTCCCACTACACCCTTTTTCCTGCTTTTCCTTCTTGCGTGCTTTTTTTTTCTTTTTTCTTTCTTTGTTTCCTTCTTTCTTTCTTTCTTTCTTTCTTTCTTTCTTTCTTTCTTTCTTTCTTTCTTAGTTGTTCTCTTCCTTCGACTGTTAAGAAATTCTTTTTGCTTTCTAGAGGAGCACAATTGGATTATCTTTCATGTGATAAAGATCAACAGAGATTTCTCGATCCCAGAGGAGATGTTGTCAAAATATTTAATAACCTGATAGATAGATAGATAGATAGATAGATAGATAGATAGATAGATAGATAGATAGATAGATAGATAGATAGAAATGAATAAACTGAGATAGATAGATAGATAGATAGATAGATAGATAGATAGAAAGAAAGAAAGAAAGAAAGAAAGAAAGAAATGAATAAACTGAGATAGATAGATAAATAGATAGATAGAGAGAGAGAGAGAGAGAAATGAATAAACTGGGATAGATAGATAGATAGATAGATAGATAGATAGATAGATAGATAGATGTGGATAAACTGAGATAGATAGAAATGAATAAACTGAGATAGATAGATAGATAGATAGATAGATAGATAGATAGATAGATAGATAGATAGATAGAAATGAATAAACTGAGATAAATAGATAAATAGATAGATAGAGAGAGAAATGAATAAACTGGGATAGATAGATAGATAGATAGAAAGATAGATAGATAGATAGATATGGATAAACTGAGATAGATAGAAATGAATAAACTGAGATAGATAGATAGATAGATAGATAGATAGATAGATAGATATAAATATTTTAAGATAACTAGATATATATTTCATCACATAATGGCCCTACATAATCATCTTTAAATTCTTGACTATCAATAAATTAATCTACAGAAAACGAATATTTTTAATCAACCTTTTTATCGAGAAATTACGAATAAATAAAGATACAAAAAAGAGATATTTTAATAAGTTGTTGCTCGAGGTCTTTCAGAAGGACTAGTCCTGGGTGTGACGATGAACTTCATCTGGCAGCAAGACTTGAGATTAGGAGATTGCAAATTTTGAGAAGCGTGGAACCCCTTCTTAATTGCTGTTGTTTCCCAGCTGGTAGCACCCGTTATGGTCCCAGCTATGGAAATATAGTTTAACCGAACCCAAACAAAAAAAAAAACACGATAAAAGTATAAAAATGCATTTTTTATAGTAAAAATACCAGTAATACATTTTCATATATCAGGTCATCCCATAAGTTCTGTCCGAATTTTAACTTTTTTTTTAAAATGAACGAAATTTAAAGAGTATTTTATAATTTCTTATGGAGCTGAACATTATTTTTATGTTTAGATGCATTTAAACTGATCAAATTTTATTTCAGAGAACAATAAAATTAAATTTTGTTTGATTAAAACCCTGATAACATGGAAGTACCCAAGAATCATTTGAGGCACATAATGCTTTATGAGTTCAAGAAAGGAAATTCAGAAGCCGAAGCGACTAGAAACATTCACTCAGTTTATGGAGAGGAATGTAAATGAAAGAACTTGCAGAAGATGGTTTGCAAAATTCAGAGGTGGAGATTTCACCCTTGAAGATGAAGATCGAACCGGACGTCCAGTTGAGTTTGATGAAAAGCTTCTTGAAGCAGCCCTTGAAGAAAATTCTGCTTTATCAGTTGAGGAATTGGCAGTGATTCTCAGTTCAAACCATACAACTGTTCATCGTCATCTTAAACATCTTGGAAAAGTTAAACTTGGAAAATGGGTGTCCTCATGAATTGTCTGAAAACAATCTCAAATCCCTGAGTTGACATCTGCTCTTCTCTCCATTCTCGCCAAATTGTTTCACCTTTTTTGATAGACTTGTGACTGGCGACGAAAAATGGATTTTTATCGAAATGTTAAGCGTCGTAGACTCTGTGGATTGGTAAAGGGAAGGACCCCAGCCACAGCCGAGAATGGGAACAATTTTTATGGGAAAAGGTTCTTTTTTTCAATTTGGGATCGCCATGAATAATCCACTTTGAATTCTTACCACATAATACAACAATTAATGCTCAAATATACTGTCAGCAATTAGAGCGTTTGAACCAAGCTTTGAGGAAAAAAGACCTGCTCTAGTGAATCGAAAAGGGGTGATGTTTCATCGGGAAAATGCGCGACCCCACACAGCAAGAATCACGTCACAAAAGATCGAAGAACTTGATTGGGAGAAAATTCTCATCCACCTTATTCTCCCGATCTTGCTGCTTCAGACTACCTTTTTGTTTCGTAGCTTACAGAATCATTTGGAAGAAGCAGCTTTTGTAACACCGGAAGTGGTTAAAACTGACATTTGTGAGTTCTTCGAATCAAAGCCAAAAGAATTTTACAGTAATGGAATCAGTAAGCTTGTTAATAGATGGAAGGAAGTCATAGATAATCAGGGAAAATACATTGTTGATTGAATCTGTAATTAAATGTAACATTTGGTCACTTGTTTTCTTCATTCAAAATTCGGACAGAACTTATGGGATGACCTGATATAAAGAAATTACCAATAATATATATTTATAGTAAAATGACTAATAATAAGTTTTACTAAATGGGTTATTTATTAAATAACCTGTAGAAGTTGATATGCCGCTAATCAAAAGTGTTCAATAAAAAGACATAGATAAAAGCCCTTCGTAAAGTGAGTACAATTTGTTGTATCTCTTTAAGGCTTAGGTTACCAAGAATCCCTTAAAGAGTCTACGGAACATTTTCCAATCAATCCGAATTGTAGGAATTGTTGATGTCGCACCTGTTAGCTTTGCTGCTATTGGCAAATAGCGAACTCACAAACAAAAACAAGGGACTATGTAAGTATAATACATTTTATAGTAAAAATACAAGTAACTTAATTTTATTAAAAAAAATACCAACAATATTTATTTATTATGTTTTAAATGTTTAGATTTCGGCATTATATAACCCATGAAGGTGTCGATATGCCTCTAAATGAAATCAACCAATCCAGAAGAATATGTGGAATCGGAGGACCAAGGAAGGAGCCGATTAGACATAAAATTCATCCTTCCCAGTTTTCACTGACGCCATTTTGTCAGTTATGACTTTGAATTCAACATCTTCCGTTTCTCATCTCTCCACACATAGGAATGCTGAGATAATGAAATCTCGCTTGCGTATCGGCTTCAAGGTCTCGTCATTTTGCACTTGAAATGGCTAGATGTAACCGTAAGTTCTATGATGACGGTTCCTTCTATCGCACTTGTCGCTTGGATAACTCACTTCCGACTTTTTGTTCCTCGTCAACATTGATCGCCAAATATTTAAATGAAATACCTATCTATCTATCTATCTATCTATCTACTATTTCTATCTATCTATCTATCTCATACTATTTCTATCTTTCTATCTATCTCATACTATTTCTATCTATCTATCTATCTCATACTGTATCTTTCTATCTATCTATCTATCTATCTCATACTATTTCTATCTATCTATCTGTCTGTCTGTCTATCTCATACTATTTCTATCTATCTCATGCTGTTTCTTTCTATCTATCTATCTATTTATCTATCTATCTATCTCATACTATTTCTATCTATCTATCTATCTGTCTATCTTGTACTATTTCTATCTATCTATCTATCTATCTATCTATCTATCTATGTCTCTAAATTCCTGTTCTTGCCGACAATCTAATATTTTTCTTCATATAAGATGCCTTGAGCATACAGGAGTTTTGACACAGCTCCTAAGAGGCTGGTAAAGGCAGCAGAGATGGAATGTCGAGGCCCTGTGTCTAAATCAAGAGTCCGACAAGCACCGATAAGGGTTTATATGGATGATTTAACCGTGACAACGACATCTGTCACGAGAGGTAGATGGCTATTAAAGGGTCACAAAGAAAATATGACCTGGGCCAAAATGAAGTTCAAGCCAGCTAAATCTAGGTCCCTAGTATTGAAAAAAGGCAAGGTCATGGAAAAAGTCAGATTTTTAGCCGCAGAAGCAACAATTCCTACCCTGAGCGAAAAGTCTGTGAAGATCTTGGGCAAGACTTTCAACTGTAGCCTGTAGGACACAGCTACGACCCAGCGGATCTAGAGGAGTGGCTGACAAAGATCGACAAATCAGGATTCCCAGGAGGTTTGAAGTCATGGGTTTTCCAGCATGCAGTATTGCCCCTGATATTTTGGCCATTGCTAGTCTATGATGTTGCTATTACCACCGTGGAAACGTCAGAAAGAGCGATTAGTAGTCAGTTAAGAAGGTGGATGGGTTTGCCGAGATGCCTTAAGTGGTCCGGCCCTCTATGGTAACAATTAATGCATTGCACCTTGCCTTTAGTAGCCTTGTAGAAAAATTCACGAGAACGAGAGAACGGCTGCTATATGCAGAATCCAAATATCCAAAAGTAACAGAAGCTGGAATTCAGACAAGATCTGACCGGGAATGGAGCGCTGAAGAAGAGTTGCGATTGGCGGAGGAGAGACTTAGGCATAAAGCTA